TCAGTTTGGACTTCGCCTTTGCACACTGATCCTCAGACACTTCCAAGTTGTATTCTCTGATAATCTCAGCAGCCATCTCCTTCTTTGTGATCGTCGGATTCACTCTCAATCTCTCAGAAAACAACCATGCAATTGCTGACCGCTTCAGCGTCTTAGAGCGCCCTGATCTGATACAGGCGTGCTCATTGACAAACACCTTGTTTTGCATCTTGTGTTTGCTCTTCTCATATGAGCAATAAACTCTCCACGGACACTCGACTTTTGTGTCAGAACACTTCGCGCCAAGCTTCAAAGACTGTGATCTGTACAGCTTTATGTCGTATCGAGTCTTGAGAGAGTACCTAAGAAGCGCAAGCTTAAAATCTTCAGCAGTGTTGAACGTCTTCCCCAGAGCTAAGATTACTTCAGGATCCTCAGTCTCTCTCTCTCTACGCCTTTCCTTTTATTTTTCTTCATTTTCGTCATCTTCGGAATCCGATGTTCGGAGTCCGATGATAAGGGATCGGGAATCTTCTCATCATCCCAAATGTCATCTCCACTGTCTTCATCAGTCGCAGCTTCATCATCTCTTGCAGCATCTCCAAAGTATTCTGCCAAGTCTCGACATCCTTCTTCTTCTAAAATTGCTCTAAACTCGTTTGTGTTGTCATCTCCGTCGCTAATGTCATCACAATCTTCATCACCAACAACCGCGCAATCCTCTTCTTCTCCAATTGCAAGTTGGCGTTGAGCATCATCATTACTAGCTCTAACACTTTGCGATTCGAACCCTTCTTCTGCTTCAGGTGGTTCTGCTTCAGCTCTTTTCTCTTTGCGCTTCGAACCCTTCTTCTTTCTTTTTCCTTTCCGCGGCATTTCAATTCACAGAAATCAAAGATAAGAAGTGGTGATTTGAAGATTTCGAGTTTTTGATATCTGGGATTTGGGGATCAATTGCTCGATTTTGTAAATGTTAGGGTTTGAGATTGTCGAATTGGGATCGGATTTGGGGGTTTTGATCGATTTGTGATTTTGGACTGTAGACAAAACGGTGTCGTCTTGGTCCTGACGTTGAGTTTAAACGGGTCGTTAACGGGGTTTAATGTGTCCGTTTAGCTAGTTAACGTTGTGTCTAAATTGGCTCGGTCAACAAAAGTTTCTGATTTAAGTGATAAGTCAACAAAAACATTATCAATTCATTGGTTCAAGTAGTACGTCGGGCTTAGAATGGCCAAAATTTGAAAGTTCAGCATTTAAACAACATTTTTCCCAATTAGTAATAGTGGAAACAATCCCAACGGGCACATGCTATATAATATATAATATATACTAAGTAATAATCCATACTTTGTGTATGATGAAATAATTATTATTTATTTAAATTTAGTATAAATTTGACTATATATTTATCTACTTTTAACTCTTAAATAATTAATTAAATAGTTTGTTACTTATCTACTATATCGAATGAATTAAAAAAGACACAATTTTGTATTTTTAATTTGAAAAACAATAATTGTATCCATAAATTATTTTTTATAAAAGAAAAAAATAATCATTGACTCCAAAAACTTTTAATCAAAAAATATTATCTAAAATATAATAATAAATCATAATTGAATATATGATAAATAGTAAGTTGGGAGTATAGTGTATACATAATGAAGCGGACTATTAAATTCAAAATGTAATATAGTTAGAGTTTTGATGTCTTTTTGCTATGATTTATTATATAAAGCAGAATGTGACAAATAAATTTTATTATAATTAGCTTCTATATAAATATTAATGTTTATCCATCTTATATATTATTTTTACTCCAAATAAGTTTTAAACATTGTTACCTTATTAGACAAAAGTGTCACAATCATTTCTACTCGAAATATTTGAATATATATATATATATATAAACAAAATAAATTTGAACTAATATATTACATATATATAAATTAGATTAGTGAATGCGCCATAAATTTAATTACTTATATTATTAATATATATCAAACACAATAATTTTAATCTTCATTAAAATTATTAATAAATTCATAATTAGCTCATAATTATATCATATTAAATATTAAATACTATTTATTGAATACTAATTTTTTGAAAGAGTTTAAATTATGAGTTAATCTGGAATGAGTCAATTAAATAGAATTATAATTATTTACTTTTATTTATAATAACTATAATGAACTTAAATTAACCAACTTTTATAATGATTATAATGAACTCAAATTATAATGATTTATGTTTATTTTTCAATATTTTGAGTAATTTATATTCAATTTTTATAATTCAAATTATATTACATTTATAAAAAAATCTATATATTTTTAATTATATGGATGATGTGATAATTTATTTACTTTACAAAAGAAAGTTTAAATGAAAATAAGAGAAAATAGATTTTTGGTAGAAAATATAATTAAAGAAATAATTAATATGATATATTTTTGTTAAGAAATAAAAAAAAGACAATATCTTAATAAATTAAATGCTGATTTAAAAAATGAAACATAACATATGTATGGACCTAAAATATATAATGACATATCATGTAATTAGTCTAGTAATCTAAGTTTTTTTAAAACAATTAGCTGAAAATGAATGTGGGGTTGACACATCAGCATAATAACACCACTGTAAATACTTACAAAAATGAGGTTACTCTTTAAAAATACAACTCAATTAATATATAGGGGATATGCAATTATAAAATAGTATCTATGTTCAATTTCATTTCAATTGAATAGAACAATAGTATAAATCATATATATAATTAAAGAAGTTTCTCTCCATCTAGAGTATCCACATCAGTATTTTTAATTTTAGTTTTTGGGCTTTCAAGTAGTTTGGGTTTTCACATAATATTAACTTATGTTAGTTTATTTATATACAGGGTTTTTGGGCCTTTAAAGATATAGAAGCAGAAGTTAAAATCAAACAATGAAAAAACTTGCACAGAATAGTTGTTAAAGTTTTTTTTTAAAAAATGTTCAGAAAAAATGTATGCAGAAAAATAAAATAGACTATTCATACTTTACGTTGTAAGATGAATGATGGTTTTTCATATAAAAAAACTAAAGTTTTGCTGTGAAAAAAATCAAGTTTAAAATCATATAGTATAAAAATATACTTGATCTATAGAATAGGTGACGCCAAAAAAAGCTATACAAAAGAAAAAAAAGATTTAAGTCTGTTGTGATTAATAATGATTTATAAAAAGCTTCTCTCAAATGAAGCTATACAGCTCAGCAAGTAGTTATTTTCTTCATGGACTTTTACATATTGTGATTTTTTTTATCAGCTTCTATATATTTTAGGTTTATATTTTTTAGGTCTTCATACAAAATAAATTTAAAAGTGAAAAAACCAAATACTTATTTTAAAAATCATAAAAACTAAAAAAATATGAAATAAAAAAAATGAAATTATTATTTAGAATAGAAGACAAAAGAATGTAAAAAAAGTCGGAAGACGAACAAATACAAAACATGACAGGAGAATTTGCGAAGGATAGTTATCAAACTTTTTTTTTCTAAAATCTTGAGAATATATATATATATATATATATATATATATATATAAACCTAAAGTAAAATTATTTATATAGAATAAATATTTATTTTACGAATCATAAAAGCTACAAATTCTCTACCAGATAAAAAAAAATTCAAATGTTATTTCAAATATAAACAAAGAGAATATGGAAAAAAAGTTGGAATGCAAACAAATACGAAAGATGACAGAAGAACTTGCAGAGTTATCAAACTTAAAAAGAAAAACAGTAAAGATATATGTGTAAAAGTAAAGCAAAATCATTCATATCAATTTTATTGTGAAAATAAATAAAGGTTTTATATGAATAAAGAAGACTAAAATGTTTAATAATGTAGCATGAGATGAACTTGATCTATACGAAAGAAAAAAATAATAATAAAAGCATGATAATTTGTGCTTCATAATGAGTTAAAAGTTTTCAAAATTTATGAAAAATGAAGAAGTTATTCAATTTAAAGCATTGAGATTGTTGATCTCGCCGGAAATAAGCAATATAAAAAGATAGAAACCAATTGAATATAAATATATGTAATAGAAAACTTAAATACTTATGACAGCATATAAATATAGATGAAGTTTTAAAACAATTAGCACATATTAATAACTTCATAATTATCTATATATTTTAGGAAAAAAAAATATAATTTCAATTAAAAAATTAAAAATAACTATAAAACAATATAAATAAATTAAAAATAAACATAACAATAATATAAATATATAAAATTATAAAGTACAAAAATATATTAACAAATAACTATGTGTAATGCGCGAGTCAAATCTAGTAATGATAATTTAATATTTAAAATACAGAGTATATTATATAAGTGACACTTTTAACCACACTTCTAATATTAATTTTGTACTTGATAAGTTCTCTTTAATATATGCATACAAGGCATTTCTTATATTAAACACATCCACTTTTGTTAATTATAATTTCTGGTCCAAATATACTCGTCTAGGTTAAAAACTTGAAATGTGTTTAATAGTGTTTTCATTAAAACAAAAAACAAAAATATCCATTCCAACCAAAATAAATAGATAAGACAATATTCATTACAATCTTTGCCTCAATTAAACAACACAATGAAAATTATCAAAGCCAGATTTTTTAGGAGAAAATGAAGTTTTTTAAAAAATTTGGTAAATATTTCGATGTTTTGGATCTTTCACATCTTAAGTTAGGCGTTTTAAAAAAAAAAATCTTTAGTTAGCCCTATTAAAACAACAACAAAAAACAAGTTACTTTAAAATTTTAGATCATCGAACTAATAATACAATATTATTTTCAATAATTCGTTTTTTTTGTCAGCGTTGTATAATGAACAGAGTGAGCTAGATCTCCGACAGTGTCACAAGGACGTTCGACCCCATTCCCTTTGTGGGATAAGAATGTGTTTTCAAATGGGCCCAGATGAAAACAATGAAGTATAGAGTAAGCACATTTGGATTTCCGATTTTTGACAACAAAAATCTGAGAAATTTTTATTTCTTGAAAACAGAAACAAAAAGAGATACTCGATGTGAATACCTTATTGATCATCAACAACGCAAAACAAAAATTCGTATATATAGAAAAGAAAAGAAAAAATTATTATTATTCATATATATATATATATATACAAACATCCTCGCCGTCTCGCTGGCGGCTGGCGCCTCACTTCACCGTGGGGTAAAGATCCTCCGACAATCTCAATTCTCCGACCATAACCAAAGGCGTCGCAAGAAACATATCATGACTCGATTCCATCAACTCAACACGTGTCTCACCTCCAGCTAACTTCCACTTAAACCCTTGCAAAAGCCTGGCGAGCATCATGACGGTTATCGCCGTACCTAACGCCGGAGCAGCACATCCTCTTTTTCCGGTACTAAACGAGATAAACCGGAGATCATTCTCAGTCAACGTTACTTCCAAGCACTCATTGAGGTGTCTCTCCGGTTTAAAGCTAAGTGGATCAGACCAAACCTTTGGGTTACGACCAAGACCGTAACGGCTAAGTAAAACTTGACTCCCCTTAGGGATGTGATAACCAGCGACGGTTGTGTCGGAAAGTGCCACGTGTGGGAGGTTGAAGGCGGCGACGGGATGCAGACGGAAAGCTTCTCGGATAATAGCTTTGAGATAGTTAAGTTTTGGGATATCGGATTCTTGGACGAGTCTTTCTTTGCCAACGACTCTTTCAATCTCTTCCATTGCTTTGTGGAGAATCTCAGGTTTGTTTATCATCTCCGCCATGGCCCATTCCACGGCGTTTGATGGGTTGTCCGGCGCCGCCATTACAAGTTCCTATTCAATATAAAATATATAAATGATTAATTATTGTTTTACTATTCTATGCATGGACTCACGGGTCAACATAAATATAAACTTTATGCTATACATAAAGTTTCTGACTATGGATTAGCATAAAGTTTCTGACTATGGATTAGCATAAAGTTTCTGACTATGGATGTTTTGGCGTTTTACCCTTTTTAAAAAATCAGAAAAAAAAAAAGTTTTAACGACAACTTAAAATCTTAGGTTGTCGCTAGAACCCCCCCCCAAAAACATTTGTATCCACTTTTTTACCACTTAATCTTAAAAATTGCTAATACTAATAATAAACTTAGTTCTGCTATATTAAATCCAAACATATAAGTAATATGCGTAATTAGTCGACAAGAAATCTAATAAATATAATTCAATATATCTAATTAGTTACCTTAATGGTTGGTTTGATTTCATCAGCGGTAAGCAAAGGCTGGCCAGCTTCGTCCTTGATAGAGATGAAAATGTCTAGAAAATCTTCAATCTGAGTTCTCTTTCCTTCTCTCCACATCTTAATCCTCTCATCAATAATGGGATCGTGATATTTGTCCATAATCGCACTAGCTTCTCTCATGATCTTCTCATGTCCGTTTAGATCCAATCCCGTAAGCATCGGTAGATAATCCGATACACAGAACGCAAACGTAAACCCTAACCCTTCAAACATAGCATCCATATGCTCGATATCTTCCACGGTTGGTCCACCGTCGGTTTCGGTTTTCGCCGAGAACGTCCTCGTTCCGAACATAAGCCTCTTAATCGCATTTCCGCAGTAGTGCCTTGTAACAAACCGGAGATCGACCGGTTCGGATTTCTTAACCATGTTGTAAAGCCAAGCAGTTAAATGATCGGTTTCCTCGGCTCTGTTGTCGTGTAACCATCGGTGTCTTGCTGGACAAACAATCTCCGTCATGATTACTTTCCTCATCTTCTTGAATTGTTCTCCGAACGGTGTGATCACGCAGGTTTTGTAGCCGTTGGAAAGTATCTTTTGAGCATAAGTGAGTGGTCTCGACGCGAAGAGTGCGTCTTGTTGCTTGAAAATCTCACGTGCGATCTTAGGACATGTGACGGGGATCACGTGAGTCTTTCCTAGACGAACACAAGCTATCTCCGTGTTAAGCTCTTTCATGAGGCTGTGAAGCCACCGGAAAACCGGACGGTTTTTAAGCATCGCCGGAATCATTCCGACGACTGGAAACCCGCTGGGGCCCGGCGGGAGAGGATGAAACTTTTTTTTTTGTGAAGAGGAATACTTTATTTTCTTGAATATCATCAAGAGAGAAATAACCGCAAGGGCTTGAAGTGTTGTGAGGAGATACATGTTGCTAAACGGCGACGTCTCGGGACTCGACTTGGTCCTGAGACCCGAAGAGTTTGAAGCTAAAGTATCCATTGTAAGGATAGAAGAGAGAAGAAGAAACAGTATGTGCTGTAATTATGCTAATTGTTTCTGCATGGATCTTTCTTTCACCTTTGTTATTTATAATGTCGCATTATCACTAGTAGGTAACTTGTGAAATGACAATATAACCCCTTATGTGGCGGGAAGGAAGCAATGTGGAAGGTATTGAGTTGGACTGACTTGGTCTCTGTAGTGATGAATGTCATCCAGAAAAATGTTATTAGAAGATAAAATATATATTATTATTATAATAGATTCATAGTTTTTAAAATCATTTTGTTGGTGATCTGCCAAAAATCCTCATGTTATATATGCACTAAACAATCCTCCAAAACAGTATTTTTCTATGGACCGATGGTTATTCCACATGCATTATTACTACTACCCATATTCAAACCTGCATGTTGTTGTAATTAAAACAAAACAAAAAATTGTACTTAATCTCATATAGTATATAATTAGTAGAACCAAAATAATAACTATTTACACGAATATTTTTTCTATGTAAAAGTTTTAGACCTTGTCGGGGGTCAATTTAGTGCAGGGACCATATGCTAATTCTCCTCAGTTTTGTTATAGTTTTTACCTTATTGTACTAAACACACATTTATTACGTTACACATTTTTGGTAGGTCGATTGATATATGTCTCCGTCTATAGATATGTCACATTCAATATCAACATGAGATATGTCTTGTTTTGGGAACCACAATATCAACTATATGTAAATACTAAATAGACAAGTTTTTTTCGAGAAAAACATTACGAGTGAAAATATTGGTATAGTTCACCTGCCAAAATCCCTCGTGGAAAATTGATGTTGTGGTCGTTGGAGGAAGGTACTTTACTAAAACCATGTCAATGTCAATTATGGTAGTGGGCCATTACACAGCCATATTATGCACGACGCCGTGTGGGAGTCCCTGTGACTTTACGCGATGGAGACGATTCCGACAAAAAAAAAATAGGGAACAGGTAATTTAAAAATTTCAAAAGTGAAGATTGGAACATATACAAAAAAAAAAACAACTGTCGAAAAGAAATAAATGGATAAAAACAACTAAACATGAGGTTCACGTGGTTGACGGTTCGAGTTTTTGAGTCTCATTTCTTTTTAATAATCTTGTAAATAATCATAAACAAATATGCAGTCATTGTATGTATATTAAATAAAGTTTAAAACATGGAATTAAGTGAATGGATATTAACAAAAAGACACATCAACAAGATGGATCGCAACCAGTGAAATTTGAGGATGTGACGCTAAGATAAAAAAATATTGTGCGCCATTTAACTAGGGAGTTTTAAAAATGAAAACAAAAATTAAATTATACCGCGAATACTTCTTCTATGTGAAATTATGCATCCAACTCGTTACATGTGCTGAACTCTATATATACCACAATATTACATGATATGATTTAGGCCGCAGTCACAAACTGGCTCAGAACTGCAACCAAACACACGATCATACTAAATTGAGGACGAACACTAGTAAAAAACAGGCTATTATAATTACAATAGTGTCGTGGCTTACAAAAAGCCACGAAAAGATCACGTAAGCAAAAAAAGCTATGGATAATTACGTGACTAATTTATGATTAATGTTACTATGAAAAACAGTGACTAATTCGTGGCTATGTAGACACAAATAATTGCGTGACTAACATAGTCATGAAAATTACCAGTGACTAATTGTGGCTATTTAGCCACGAAAAACCATGAAATAAATTAGTCACGATCGTATAGTCACGATTTTTTCACGTAATTTTTCGTGGCTATAAAATCATATAGTCACGATATTTTTGCGTTAATCACGAAAGAAACAGTGACTATAGCCAAATTTTTTACTAGTGAAAATCATCAAATAATTTCACTTATTTGGTTATACATTAGTTTTATAAAAATTGATAATGCATTAGTTATATATATCTAGAGCCTAGAGTCTAGACACTGCAAAGTTACATATATCAAACGAATGAGTAATAGGACAATCCACATCATAAGATATTATCTAAGTTTCACTGTATATTATATATATATATATACTTAGTTAAAGTATTTAACACGTAGTATATATCTCGACCAAACCGTAGCATTTGTAAAAACCTAACTACATGCTTGTCTATATATTGATAGATTAATACTTGATATCGAGTATAAATCCAGGTCCATACATAATGCATATGTGCATAAATACGTACGTCTATATGTTGATAGATTAATACTGCGCTGAACCGACCAAATCAGCAAAACGAGGTTTAAGTCCAAACACAATGGAATTAACAGTAAATTAATTAACTTATGGAAATTAAATAATATGGCGGGCTACTTAGTTTATGTCTTTATACCTACCAATCTACCAAGGTTCAAACGTGATCTAACGTTAGTGAAGAATTTTCTTTGCTGTATTAGTTTATCTTTGTTCTTTGATAAGTAGATTTATCCCAAAGAAACCTTTTAATAAAAGGGAAAAAGGTAATTACAAGAAAAGATGTAAAGAGAAGATTGAAAGTATATGCCACATGCTCAACTTTCTGGCGTTACGAGGCAGTTTCGGGTTATGGACTTATGGTTGTGACCAGAGGCTTATGGAGTATCTTTCTTTATGAATATAGAAATTAAAAGATTTGTCGTCTGTGAAAGGTCTTGATAGTTTAGTAGTTGATAAATGATTTATTTAATGTTTTTAAACTACGTTTTGAGTTTAATTTTCAGAAAATGCATATTATGCAGATTTGTGGAAAAAATAAATAAAAAACCATTGTTTATCATAAATGTGATACATGAAAAATCGCTAACTACAATATAGTTTTTTGATGATATAAGTAAAATTGTCTGTTTTAGAGTTGTCTATAAAACTGTTTGTCGTATTTCACATTGTTGTATGAAATTAGTTTCGTTCGTCATATATTACTTGATATATTATCATGCAACAATGTCTTTTATATGATTACTAAAAGAAATATATTGGTCAATATCAATAAGATTGGTGTTATACTATTGTTCAAAACAAGAAAATTGACTATTAAGTCAAGTTTGGCAGACCGATTAAAACTATTGATATTTGAATCCCATTTTCGAAAACCTTGAACGTCTGTAAACATTACCAACTTGATGAAACTTTAAACCAATAGTAGAAAAATATTAAATCTTCTGCTCAAGAGGATATTGGTTTTGATTTGCTATGGAAAGCTCTTATATATATTGAGATTTGAACTCGAAAAAATCTTGTCCAATTCTTCTTTTCCCTGCTTGTTATCCATCGTGATCTCATTCGATTCTAGTTATCAAGTTTGAGCAATGACCTTCACATGCTAATCATTTTGCGGCAAGATCGAATGTATGATCTCCAACAATACCAAATTCTAACTAAAAATCAAACTTGGCCCACAAAAAAAAACTAAAAAATTAAACCAATATATATTATTTGCTTTTAGTTAAAATGTTCTGTTTCATTTACCGGAAAACATAAAAAGAAAACTTTAAAACAGCGATTGTAAAAAAATATTCTAACTTCTAGATTCAGAATCTTATTTTTTAAGAAAGGAAAAAAGATGGCGTAAATCATCCAAACGAATTAGATAGAGTTTGTTAAAAAAAGTGCATAAAATAAAATGGTGCATAGATTGTATTCTTTAACTATATGGGCTTCACTGATGGCGCCATCATGAGATGCTTTTAGAGTGGATACTGTCTTCATATGCGTACGTAAGCATGAAGTAAACGTGCTCCAACTACCAAAGTCCACCTGTCCAAATTTCACTGTTCCTAACAGTTTTTTCCTATTTTGGCCGCAATTCTGCATTATGTCCCTTAATAGTATAAAACTGTTCCTAGCAGTTATAATGCAGTTTGCTTCAATTTTGACTATGCATGGCCGTGCTAAAACCAAATTAGAAAAAGACATTATTTATGTAGTTTATTTGATAATTTTATATTGGAAAAAACTTCATGTGTTTCTTGATTTTTGCGGAAATTTTGCTCTCTAGTAGACTTGATTCATATTCTTCTTGTTTAATTTTCTTTAACTATTATTTTAGTTTGTAAAATCATCGAACAAAATGCATATTTCCTAACATACATTCATGAGTGTATTGAAGAATGTACTTTTGAAGCATTAGAATAACCCTAATAGAGATTTTTAGGTATCTAAACAAATGTTATTAATAATAAAACTGAATAAAAAAATAGTGTCAGGTGTTTTATATTTTAGATCGGTGTTCAAATTAAAACTGCATATGTGGCAAGCTGGGAGTAGACGATGGAAAATTTCAGTTTCTGAATTGCACTTTTATAATTTATATGTTTTCATGTATTATATTTTTGAAAATATATTATGTTTTAAAAGTTGTTAACAAAAATTTCTATTTTTTTTTTTGTTTTTAAAACACCCATAGAAAATATTTCCATTGTATACTTTAAAAACAATAAAATATTATAAAGTGTCTTAAAAGATAAGACCCACACCATTAGTATCTCTATTGGGCTTGCTCTTAGAGTATGGTTTCGTGGGCAAGGACCATGCATGAAATAATACAAATCTGAACAAGGACATGATTTATGTACCCCATGAGATATGTCGGTTTATTGTTAAAAGTTATACGAATTAAATGAAGTGATACAAAGTCATGAACCCATTTCTCTTTGTTTGCTAATAAAATAGAGAGAGTGTATCTCAGTACCTCACTATAACCATTCTTACACATTCTTCATCTTATTTTTGGTATTGGCTTCTTTTCTTCCTACTTTCTCAACTTTTGGTTATGTCATCTAAAAGAATCATTGTTGGTGTGTTTTTTTTTTATTGGTTTTGTTTCTTCCTCCTTTCTTAATCAACATTTGGTTATACTTTGTAATCTACTAGATATACATGTGAAGCTCTCAGATAGTCGGACCATTATTGTGCCCTCTTATACTGTATCTGAGCTTAACTAATTTCTTCAAAGCCATACCAAGATTCTAGGAGACGTACATGCAATGCTTGAATACCAAGTTCAAACACATTTTAAGGTGACACAATTGTCTAGTTTTCTGAAAGCCTCACATATATTGTAGATGCCAAAAAGAGGCTTATTTAGATGAGTAATTAAGTTCTTACATAAATAAATAAAAATTAGGGATAGTTTTTGAAATGGCTTAGAAGTCATTTTTACAATTTTCTTTTAATAGAGTACCCGTTTCATATTATTTTCCTATTTTGTATTATTTTAGAGCATTTCTTCTAAAAATGATAATTTTTAAAATAATATATATATATATATATATATATCTTTGCTCGTGATTAGGTTATATTGCATATTGATAAAAAAAAATTCATGACAAATTAATAATGCTGTACATGAACACTAGATGTGGGATTACACTGTGTTGATACATTTGTGTGTTGGGTGTAAGTACATTGAGTGATGATTTTACATTTTACCCAAAAAGTACATTGAGTGATTTCGTTTGCAAACTCAAAACATCAACATGTAATCAGGTTTATTATTTTTTCTCTAATTTTGGTCTTAAAATATATCTCAACTTGATTAGTAATCGTCGTGACATTGGCCAAAGTCAGCGATTGATTTGCGATTTAGGTATTTTTGAGATATTTTTTTTTTTTGGTCAACAGATACTTTTGAGATATATAATGGCAATAATTCACAGGCAGATTGATTACGTGTAGATGCAAACGTCATGGTGTGTGCTATAAATAACACCAGAGTCGAGACTCTCGTGAATTAATACGATGTTTGCATCTTTCTTTCTTTAGAAAGACAGAATATGAAAACGAGACTTTTCCCCTTTTGTGCTATTAGAGAAAGAATCAAACGTAAATGAATATTACAAAAACTATGAATGATTCGAAAGTTTAGACTCCGCATTTAACAAATTCATATATTAGGTTTCAATTAATCAAAAACTGAATACAAAAACTTACATTACAATTAAATTTACTCTTTATTAAAACAAAAGGCCTCCTAAAAAAATACAATTACAAAAGAAACTCAATAACATGGCTGAACAAAAACTTCTCAAGAATGATTGTTAAGAATTTAAGCAGCTTTAGGTGAATAAGTACTATATTTAAGAGAGATTTCTCCATCAATTTCCCAACCATAGCTCTAATGTGACAAATACCATCTCGTTTCATCAATAAGCCATTGAAAACGCTATCATCATCATCTTGATGATCTTCTTCTTCTTCTTCTTCTTCTTCTTCTTCTTCTTCTTCTTCTTCTTCTTCTTCTTCTTCTTCTTCTTCTTCTTCTTCTTCTTCTTCTTCTTCTTCTTCTTCTTCTTCATAGTCATCTGCAAGTAAATGGGATGGAACGATAGAATCTTGAAGCTCCCATTCCTCGAGACTAAGTCCCCATTCTTTGTAATCCGCTCCTGACATGGCTAAGGCCTCCATTGAAACCATCATGAATTTAGAAGAAAGTGATTTTAAAAAAATTTCTTTCGAGTTGTATATTATCTTTCTTCTTCTTCTTCTTCTTTGAGGAGTACGTACGTACGTGTAGCTAATGGCGTTATTTATATATAGGCATGCACGATACGAACGTGCGGTTTCGTTAGTTTCTCCCCTGAAATTATTTCCAAAAGGTCACGTGAAACGTGTACAAATCAAACCGTTGAATTGAACTGAAATCAAATTTCTAAAATGTCAAATACTTTGAACGAAACAAATATGAACAAAAAAAAAAAAAACAACAACAACAATCTCGTGATTCACTTTAAGAGTTGCAAATTGAAAGTAGAATGACGAATACTAATCTTCTCTAGCAGTCGTCATTCACTCATCATACCCATGGCGTTAACAATGATGGACACATGTATTAGAAACGTTTTCCATTTTTTTTTTGGATCCATGAATGAAAATTGCATGGAACGAGAAATAACTTCCGAATTCACATTTTTTTTTCAGATTTTGATTCATGTCAAGTAAATTTCATGAGTCGTGTTCGTAGTAGACCTATTCATCTTAATAGCATAGAAACGTTTGTTCATTTCCATATACATTACAAATCCAAAATGTGTGAGACGACAAAAGTATTTTTAAAAAGAGGACAAAAGTTTGACAAAAAAAAAGGACAAAATAAGAAGATACAGTTAAGGTTATTTAGTCTAATCAATCTGAAGACCTAACAATATCCAGTATATATTTTTCTTAATAAAATAGTATGTATATAGGTATAATATATATTTTTTTTGGTCAAAAGTATAAAGTATGTACTATATATATAAGAGGATTATATTAAGGGTTGACCTGAATTTAGTATTTTAATTGGCATTAGCATTTTTTATAAATGGAAGATAGGGTTGAAAAAAATCAATTACTTTGATTTTTTTTTACAGAAAATCAATATATATCATATTATTAATTCAGAAGCAAGTTGAGCTGTGGTTGAGAGTTATAATGGTTGATTACCTTTTACCTCTTATGTGAATTTACTTTAATTATTTTTAATAAAATTAACAAATTAATAATAAAATTAACAAATTCATATTAGCTAATTTTTAATTGATTTTCGTTTTTTAAAAACCCCAAATTTTCAAATTTGAGTTTATATCTTAAAAATATTTAGTTTCCTAAAAAAATGTAACTAGCATAAATTATAAAAAAATAATTATAATTATTTTCTTGAACTAATTTTAATTTGTTTATTTAATCTACTTATATTTTTGATTGACCTAATTGATTTATTCGGCCACGACTAAAATTCTAAATCCTTTAAGCCCTTCTAGAACTCTATATCGTATATCTCTCTCCACAACTTTCGTTTTAGATCTCTAATCTCTTTTAAAAAATCAGTCGTAGAAGATTCGAAGTTATAGTTTTATTAAGAGTTTTGTTGGAGAAAAAATGATTAATTTGATTCTAGGTATTGGTTCTACTTTTATGTTTGGTTTAACTGAATGTGGATTTGATTTGTGTATTAGAACAGCTGCGACAGATAACTCAGACCAAGGACGAGAATTTTCATTCGCATTGAGAGAAAGATTTTACTTGCAGCCATTGTCACCAACAGAAGCTGCAGCTAGGACCAAAGAATCTGCTAAAGAGATCATTAACATTAAAACATTGATTGATAAAAAAAGTTTGGCCTTACGTACAGAACGACCTCCATTTGAGAGACATGAATACCATTATCTCTACTAGATTTAAGGAAGAGAAATAGTCTTAAAGAACTCACCGGCAAGTTCTTCCAAACCATCAACAATGTAAGTTTTTTTTTTCCTTTGGGATTTTGTTTTCCCATGGTTTCTTGGTGAATAAGTTTTAAAGTGTTTTAATTCACAAAATTCTTTCTAATGTTTAGATTGATCATTGATCTAAGATTGTTGTTACTTGTGTGGAAGCTGGACTATACAGCAAGGTCAAAACGCAGCCTATATGCTGAGAAGTATTACTCAGAGATAGTCATAGAGATGGTATGGAGTTTGAACAATGTTCTTGCCAAGCTTAGTTAAAGAAGCAAGATTTTTTTTGTAATGTATTGGTGTTACTGCTATTATTATTGTTATTAAGTACTTTATCTTTTTCCTCTTTTAAATTGAGTATTTCTAATTTCAGTTTTAAGTTTTAATCAAAAATTGATATAATATCTATGTTTGTCTGAAATTTCAAATATGGAATTGAAACCAATTCTTGGTCTTGCTCTTGGCCGTTCGACCTTTCATGTTGTCTCTTTTATACTTAATCATCGAAGACTTTTTACTTTATTTTTTTCCTCTCAAGGGACATATATATATATATATATATATATATATATATTTGCACAAAATAACCAAAATGCTGATGTAAATGGTCAAATAGGCATGGATTAGGACAGTTGGGAAAAAATGCTTGATGTCTTCAACGATCTCCATGGCCTAAGGTAAGACTAATCCTCCATGTGAATTGAGATCGGTCGCAGGTTCGAATATGATTCATAACTCACCGATCTCTGATTCTATTACTCATAACCATGCTTTTGATCCTCAAACATATCCTTCTCCCAATCCAAGACACAAGATCCTTCTCTCAATCCAGGACACAGTTAAACATACCGTAGTGAACACTATTGATGATTTGCTTTGGTTCTAAAATTGATTGTTATGTTATGTGTGGTGGTGAAGTCTACTATCTAATTTCTGAGATCTTCCTAGGCAATTACAAGCAATGGAAGTGGAGAATATTTGACAATGGCAATGTTGAGTATGAGAAGGAGGATGTTATTTGTTCGCTGGAGTATCCATACCTCTTCTTGGATTGGGTACTAAAATTATGTTTCTTCTAGCTCTGGTTCTTTTCTCCTCATACTTAAAACAAAAATCCAAGTCCTAAAATTCAGAAATCTTTAAGGCAGAAGAAACTAACATGCAATTTGTTGTGGAGAGAAGGAGAAGAAGTTCATTGAAAATATTGTGGATGTTGGTGCTTGACTTACAAAGCTTCACAAGACCAACAAATTCCAAAAAGGAGAATTATTCATCATGTTTGATAAATACAATAAAACAACAAAACATATATATCAATTTTTATCAAATAATATAAAAGATATTAAAAAATAAAATAAAATAATATATTTAGCTTTATTACAAAAATAATATATCTTATAAAAATTGTATTTTTTAAAATATATTATTTTGATTTCAAATAATTATAAAATTTGATGTTTTATCTATAAATAAACTAATATTATTAATTTTTAAAAAATATAATCAAACTCCGCACAAGATACGGAGAAACACCTAATATATATATATATATATATATAATTATAATGCAATCTGAGGTATTTGAAACTGTTTTTATACGAACAATGCCGTCATCGAAAGTTGACTTATTGACATTTAAGTAGTTTATAAAAATTAAAAAAGCCAGTTTTATTACAAATTTATAAGCTGAGAATTTTATGTTAGGAAGATAATAAGTTTTTAATTAATATAAGATGGCTGTAATCTGGAAAATCTTGAGGATAAGTTTCCACGTACTTCACTAATCTGTTTATAAGAAACAAATTAATTGGTTTTTATTGGCGTATTAATGCTTTAAAATACTCTTTTGACAGTTTTGCATTTATTTCGCGTAGAACAGAGAAAAAACTAAGAATTTTTTTCCTATTTGGATCCTCTTCGCACTTTCAAGTTTTCAACAACACCTTCGAAATCTCAAATCTCCTCCAGAGCGAATCCCTTCATTGATTGATTGAGAATCTGAGTCGAATCGGACGAGTCAGGGACGAAATCACGGTGTTACGGAGGCTGTTTCTAGGTCTGATGGGCGCCGCGGGCTCCAAACTCGAGAAAGCTCTCGGCGACCAGTTCCCGGAGGGAGAACGCTACTTCGGATTCGAAAATTTCGGCAACACTTGTTACTGCAACAGTGTTTTGCAGGTCTCTCTCTCTCTCTCTCTCTCTCTCCCTCGAATTCCCATAAACTGCTTTCGGATTTGGATTCGGATTCTCCGTCTCGAGCTTTATGTGCACGGCTCGTTTTTGCATTTGGTCGTCTTCTTGTAGGATTTTGAAATTTCTGATTTTTCCACTTGCGAACTACAAATCGGATTTGGCCATGTTTGAGAAATTTAGTTGATAGGTTAACTGGTGTATCATCTTGTCAATTTTGAGAGATCGCTTGATAAAAATCAATACTTGTCCCGAGCATTTTGATCTTTACTGAATTGGATTTATTGACAAACGAAAAAGGTTTCGTTTTTAAGTATGCAAATCTTTTATAGTATGAACTTTTGCTCTTGTGCAGGCCCTTTATTTTTGTGCTCCCTTTCGTGAACAATTGCTTGAGTACTGCGCAAATAATAAAAGTGTAGCTGATGCTGAGGAGAATCTCTTGACCTGCTTGGCGGACCTATTCTCGCAGGTGATTATGATTCTTTTCTTCACGGCACATCAGATCTCTGGTGTATCATTCTTTTCCGACTTGTGTTTTGGCTTCACGGTTGTATCATTTGATAGATGTGGGGATGTATGTTCTACTATAACAGAGAAATAAGTATTTGAGTGGTGCAACACGTAATAGTTTCCTTTTTGGAGTAGCCTATAATGCTTTGGGGTATTTCTAAACATGCTGGTTTTGTTTTATGTTGGTAGTGTTAAAAGTATTGCTTCTTTTGCCATAGATAAGTTCCCAAAAGAAGAAAACAGGAGTTATTGCTCCCAAGCGCTTTGTACAGAGGTTGAAGAAGCAAAATGAGCTTTTCCGGAGTTATATGCATCAGGTAGTTTCAAAGGTCCCTTTTGTTTGAGGATAATGAAATTGTGAGAGACGATGTCTCTGTAAACGAAGCATTTGATTAAATTGCGCTGCTATTCTCATGCAGGATGCACATGAGTTCCTGAATTATTTGCTAAATGAGCTCGTTGACATCTTGGAGAAAGAGGCAAAAGGTACAAAAACGGACAATGAAAGTTCATCGTCTAATGGACTGAAAGTTCCTCAGGCAAATGGCGTGCACAAAGAGCCTATTGTTACATGGGTGCACAAGATTTTTCAGGTAAGGATCGGTGCAGTTTTTGGATACCAAATATAGAAAAATATATTTGGTCATTGACTTATTATAGCCGCCTTTAGTGTAAAGCTTTACTTCCTGCATTTTCTAGTCTCGAAACTGGACCTGATCACAAAAGTGGCCATCGCATGTTATTAAGTTTTTTGTTTCAGTCGTCTCAAGTGATAGCGCATGTGCAAACTCATTACAGGGTATACTTACCAACGAGACAAGGTGTCTACGGTGTGAGACAGTAACAGCAAGAGACGAAACATTCCTAGACCTAAGCCTTGATATTGAACAAAACAGTTCAATAACTAGCTGTTTGAAAAACTTCAGCTCTACAGAGACTCTACACGCTGAAGACAAATTTTTCTGTGACAAATGCTGCAGGTAAAAAAAAATGCTGTTCCACAATCCTCCACACACTTTGCTTTTCATACTACAGTTCCTCACTGGATCCTTGAGCTCGCATTTACCATGATCTGTATCATATATTGTTATGTGCAGTTTACAAGAAGCGCAGAAAAGGATGAAGATCAAGAAACCGCCACACATCTTAGTCATACATCTGAAACGTTTCAAATACATGGAACAGTTGGGTCGCTACAAGAAGCTATCTTACAGAGTCGTCTTCCCACTGGAACTGAAACTCAGCAACACAGTGGAGGAATACGTGGACATTGAGTACTCTCTCTTTGCAGTCGTGGTTCATGTCGGAAGCGGACCCAACCACGGTCACTATGTTAGCCTCGTGAAATCTCATAACCACTGGCTCTTCTTTGACGATGAGAATGTTGAAATGATCGAAGAATCTGCTGTTCAGACATTCTTCGGTTCGTCACAAGAGTACTCGAGCAATACTGATCATGGCTACATCTTGTTCTACGAGAGCCTCGGAACAAGATAGAGCTTTTTAATGATTTGACAAACAGCATAATCTCTCTCTTCTAAGCTATTCTGTGACTTGAAATGAAAAAAAAGTCATTTTCTTTTTGACTCTGAAAACTGAAAGTTTGTATACTAATGGAAACCAGCCATGTACAGTTTAAGGTTACTATTTGGCTATAAGTTAAACTTATGTTCAAATATATAATATAAATCAGAGTGGTAATGAATGCAGTTACAGAATCTGAGAAGAGTGATTACACAAGAATTTACAAGTTTAACGAGTCAATAACTGTAACAATATCTCTCACATAGGCTTTGAGAGTGGTTTCAAGTGTTCCATAAAGTTGAGGACATAGGCGGCATCAATGTGTCATCATCTTCCAACAGTGCTTCAATATCTATTAGATCGTCATCAAAACAAGTCGCTTCTTCTGAATTTTCAAGAGCTTTCTCAACCTAAAACAACAAGAACAAAACTTGTTGTTCAGCTTTGTTGATTCTTAAAAGAGTGAAGTAAGTTTGTAAAATTATTATTTACCTTGCTTTCTTGGATGTCGTTGACCACATTTAGTAATCTACGGTATTGGTCTCTAGCTTCAGGATACTGAACCATTGATTTAACTCTTGCAAGAGCCTTTTGTAGCCTTTCCTCTGTTTGCTTTCTACCTTGTTTGAAGAAATCATCATCTTCTTCTTTCTCTGTTCCATCTTGCATCTTGTCAACAAGTGCGTCTGACTTAAACCCGCGCAAGCCAGCTCCTTTCCGTCTCCAGCGCAGTATCACCTTCTCTAATATCCCCACAGACCAAATTATCTTCCTGTAGTTTTTTCTAACTTGATAACCTCTTACATGAGCCTGCGTGTGTTGCCAGTTGAAAAGACCGTTAAGAATCTCAGTTAATTAAGTAAAACTAATCAAAGATCATTTTTGGTTTGTGGTTTACGAACCTGTATTCTGATGATTCTTTGTCTAGTAATCAAATACTCTTTTCTTCCCTTGTAACCGCGGAACTTGTTCTGGATCCTGATAGCAGCGGCTTGCACGGAATCATCGCTATGCGCTCGTCCTGGTTTGTGTGTTTTAGGAGCAAGCATTGAAAGAGCACGCTCTTCCGACATCCCAAACTTTCTATCTCCAAACTCTTTTATCTGCTTCTTCTGGAAAGACTGAGCCCTGAAAACCTGATGAATCCGAGCTGCCGCTTGCGTAGCGTTGCGTACTGCTGTCAGAGAGTCTGTCAACGATGAGCTCGACTGGCTAGGAGCGGTCTCAACCGCTGCTAGAGATGTCTCCGCGTTGTTATCATTGAGACTGAGCAAAGAAACATGCGCCCTCAAGGCATACTCTGAGAGATACCCAGCGATTCCTTTGTAACCGTTAGCATAGGCTAGATCAGAAGGTGTGCTTCCTGATGGGAAATCTGGATTCGGGTCAGTCAAAGTTCCGGGAGCAGCACCGAGTGCTATGAGGGAACCAATGATCAGCTCCCTGTATATGCAAACACCGTTTGTTTCAGATACGAGAAAAATAAGATGAACTAGTTAGTGTGACTCTTTCCAGAAGAAGTGACTCACCTGCCAAAGAAAGCTGCCCAGTGAAGTGCGGTCCAACCATTAACATCGCGAAAATCAACGCTTACACCAGCGACTATCGTCGGTTCTAATGCCCAGTTGTAACCAAGAGCAGCTGCAAAGTGTAATATCCCTTGGCCACCTTCGTCCAACACGTTAGGACCTTTTCCACCTTCTGCAATCTTTTGTAATAGCCATGAGTGTAAGCTTTCTTTCAGAGCTTCCTGCAAAAGGTTGTTTTTCATATTTTCTTGGGAGATTTCGTTCATTAGCATCTGATCCAACTGGTCATCATTCTCGAAAAGCAGTAAACTAATCTTCTCGCTCACTTGGGACAAGTCACTGTCATTCCCGGAGAGAGAAGAGCTCGGACAATCAGATTTTGAGCACAACAGTTTAACAAATCTTGCCTCAAGACTTTCAATGGAGTTGCAAGCAGTAGATTCGTCTGTTTCTCCATCAAAAAATTGAGACTCCAACACCTTATACTCGAATTCACGCACTTCACTGCATGCTAATCTGTTGGAACATGTTACGTAAAAGGGAACTCTTCCAGCCTCATGCATAGGAGCAACACACTGGAGAACACCATTAGCTATAACATCTGCTGGAACTTCTGTTTGGCCAAACATGCAAGACCACTCGCCAATTTCAGCCTCCTCTCGAGTCTTTAAGAATTTCCCAGTGACAAGAACCTAACGATTTTGCAAAAGAAAATAAGCACAAGCCTATCTTTTGATTCCCCAAAAAGAACAAATAAATCTATAGCGTTACCTTCACTTCACAACCCACATAAGTCCAGCTTGGAGCAAAGTCAATGATGCTAAAGAGCTGTTCCTTTGAGAGGGAAGGACTCATAACATATCCATCCAAGTCCCTCCTCGAGTTGCGACCATTGGATACATCCCCACTCTCAACTTCTTCCCAGTAGGCTGTTGAACTCGAATGAGTATAAGACTCGTTTGCATCAGCGATCACACCAACATCTCCAAGTTCTTTGCTCATCCAGCGATTAAAACTGTCCATTTTTTTCAAACCTTCCTCACCCAATGCACCGTCTAACAAATGCTGTTTCATAGTAGATAGATATGGGGCTTTTTCGCTTGAAGCTAAATTGCTGATAGCATTTAGCTCTATATCTGCAGTTGACAGAAGGAAAAAAAAAATATTGAAGGTTAGCTTTTAAAAACAAGTAAATTCTAACCTTTTAATGAAACAAAATAAGTCCAGTGTAGTAAACCTTGTCCTTGGGACCACAAGGTACGATCAGATGTAAGTCCTGAATTAAACTCATGGTTCTGTGGAAATTTGGAAAAAAAAAATATGTACTCAGTGAATACATAGCCTATCAGTTACAAATAAGGAGCAAAAAAAATATTTAGCAGCACAATGGAGTAAGAGGAATGCAGAAATTGAGACAGATACACTTAGAGTTGTGTATACCTGGCTTTTCACTATAGACTCTTGTAGACTGGCAAAATCTTGCATAGTAAAAGAGCAACTTTGGAGTATTTGGTCCAACACTTCATGCTCACTGTTAGGCTGCATAGGTATACCTTCAGCTGCAGAACCACAATTTCCCAGAATCTCTTCCCAGGTTTGGGAATCAATGGATTTTTTGTTTCTTAACCCATTTGTTACTCCTGGACCGTTGATAGTTCTGCTTTTGTCTACCATAATGGAAGAGTCTGTTACGGGGATTGTGCGAAGCTCTTTCTGATAACTATCCCTGGCTGCTAAAAAAGATGAAAATACCATATGCCGTTTGTAAGTATCAGATGGTAATTACTGGAACTTCTGCTTCGACTGGACAGAATTAAAAAAAAAAAAAAACATAAAATTCAGGACACCAAGAACTTACGCGTCAGAGACATTTGATAGTAAGGATCAAACCCAGTATATGCTCTTTCAGTTGCATGCTGCTGAAGTTCTTGATGTGAGTAAATTATGGAACTCGCCTGCTGATTGTATGCTGCAGAGTGGAAGTATGTACAATGCATAAGATAAGAGACTTAAGGTATTCTCATTGTGTATATTATGTATGAAAGAATAAACACCTGATTCAGCATCTTCAAGTTCGGGAGTGTGAACACCATTGACACTTGCTGAGTCAGTAGCTTGTGAATGATTGCTGTGATCATATTGATTAATGCTGCAAGAAGCATAACCTTCACGTTCACTGGTCAAGACTTCCCCGGTTTCTTGAGGAGACCGAGCAGCATCTTCAGTCCTTTGCATCCGATTATAAGAAGTAGAAACCCTACTACCCTGAATCATTTACAATTCTTTTAACTTCCATGAAAAGAAAAACATGAGGCAGAGTAACTAGCAAATCATAGGATGGAGTCAAACCTTTACTTCGAGATAATGGACAAAAACTATGTGGGAAAGCTCTCTGCGTTCGTAACCAACAAAATAAAAACAAGTGGCTTAGCAAAGGAAATCGTTTAAGAAAATGAAAAAGAAAACTTATGTATTGAGTTCCTTTTCAAGTTATAGTGCTTGAGAGGTCAATGTTCTCGTCAACTCTGTAGACTTATTAACACATGTTGAATTAACAAACAAGAGAGAGAGGGAATCTAAGATAAGCCCACAAGCAAATGTTGTTTAAGTTATAAATGCTATAATAAGCTTACTCCTGCAGCATCCAATAACTGCGTCTTTGAAAATTTTCGTTGTCTTGTCCATGCGCATAATAGCAATGTAGAACATCAACACTTCCCGCCTGCACGGATATTCATGAGCAAGAGAAATCACAAAGGGGCACCTCCCACTAATACATCAATCATACCGGGTCTCAGAGTCACAAGGTGCTTCTCTTTGGACTTATAAATAATGTTTTATTTACTACCTTCAACCTCTCATGAGCTTCTTTCACTGTCTTCCCATCTCTTTTCTTCCTCCAATTGTGACCATCTTTCCTGAAGTATCTGAGTACCTTTCGATCGAATAGAAAAACAGATCCACCTGAAATGACATCACTCTTTAATCAAACTCATGTGGTTATCATTTGGGTGTACGCGAGCACGAGCAAGAGTGATAAATCTTACTTGCCGGTGTAGTAGGTGGCTCCGTAGAAATTTGAAACCTTTGGTAATTCTGTAAAATTTCACAGATCTCAGGGGGACGAAGCCATCGATTCCGTGCTTCTGAGAGTATTTGGCCAACATCTGTGGACAAAGAACACAAAACGAGTAAGAAGATATCACCACAAAGCAAGTATATTCATCAACATAGCTTGCTTCAAGGCGCTCTCTATGGTACATTCGGTTAGTACCTACTTAGCTAAATTGTCATCAACTTCCTAACAAGAAGCAGCTAAGTTCAAGTAAAGCTAACACAAGATAGCTGCTAAAAACCACCAGTGACACAGATGGCTAAAGCTGCAAAGATCATTTCTTTAGTCGTTGACTGATTTTTTGTTTGTCGTTCCTAATCAAGATTACA